AACCCCCACCCCCCTCGGTCCAGCCCCAACCTCTCACCCCAACCCTACCCTCCTCAGCCACCTCCAACCTCTCAACCCAACCTCAACCTCCCGAATCCAACCTCAACCTCTCAACCCAAGCCAAACCTCCTCAACCCAACTCCACCCTCTTCAACGCAGCTTCACACTTCTCAACCCAACCTCAACCTCCCGAATCCAACCTCAACCTCTCAACCCAAGCCAAACCTCCTCAACCCAACTCCACCCTCTTCAACGCAGCTTCACACTTCTCAACCCAACCTCAACCTCCCGAATCCAACCTCAACCTCTCAACCCAAGCCAAACCTCCTCAACCCAACTCCACCCTCTTCAACCCAGCCTCAAACTCCTCAACCCAGGTCCCTGTTGCCTCACCAATGTATTCCTCCAGGTCGATGAAGCCGTCCCCGTTCTTGTCAATGTCCTCCATGGTCTCCTGCAAGAAGAAGATGGCAGTTGGCTGGGCTGAGAGAAATTCCCCCCCCACCATGAACCAGGGCTGACTGAGCACCACCATGTTATAAAAAACCCCCAAAAGCCACGTTGGCTTCCTCCACAATCCATCCTGTCTGCCCACAACCGTCCCTGAGCCACGTCTCCTCGAGGCCACCCCACCTGAGGACCAGTTCTGGTGAACCTCCCCATCTCCAGCCCTTCTCCATCCATTTCCATGCCACGGTCGCCATGTTTTCAGTGGCATCAGCCACGGACCCACCTGCACGACGATGTCCTTCATGTAGTCGTACTCCTCAGGGTGCAGGAAGGCCGTGAACTCCTCCTTGGTGGCAGTCAGGTCTCCATCTTTGTCGGCCATCTTGAAACGTCGCTCGTCTCGCACCATCATTTGTTTATAATTAAATCCATCATCGGGGTCTGGGTCATCTGGGCACCAGAAGAGAAGAGGCAGCACCCCGGGTCAGCTCAGGCAGGGGGGAAATGTCTCATGGTCACTAACCTCAGCCCAATCTTCAACCTAACCTCAGCCTCCCTTAGTCTCAATCTCCTCAATCTAACCTCAATTTCCTCCCTCCAGCCACAACCTCCTCAATCCAACCACATCTTCCTCAACCCAACCTCATCCCAACCTCCACCACCTCAGCTAAACCTCAACCCAACCTCAACCTCCTCAAGCCAACCTCAAACTTTTCAATCCAGCTTCAACCTCTTCAATCCAACCTCAACCCAACCCCCATTTCCTCAACCTAACCTCAACTTCCTCAAACCAACCACAATCTCAATCCAACCCCAACCTCTTTCCAGCCTCAACCTCAAGCCATCTGTAACCTCTTCAGTCCAACCTCAAATTCTTCAAGCTCAGCCTCAGTCTCCTTGACCTAACCTCAACATCCTCAAGCCAACCTCAATCTCTTCAATCCAACACCAATCTCAACCTCAAGCCAACCACAGCTTCTTCAACCTACCCTCAACCCAATCTGTTTCCTCAGCCTAACCTCAACTTCCTCGAGCCAACCCCAATTTCAATCCAACCCCTCAACCTTCTCAACCCCTTCAATCCAACCTCAACCTTCTCAACCCCTTCAATCCAACCTCAACCTTCTCAACCCCTTCAATCCAACCTCAACCTTCTCAACCCCTTCAATCCAACCTCAACCTTCTCAACCCCTTCAATCCAACCTCAACCTTCTCAACCCCTTCAATCCAACCTCAACCTTCTCAACCCCTTCAATCCAACCTCAACCTTCTCAACCCCTTCAATCCAACCTCAACCTTCTCAACCCCTTCAATCCAACCTCAACCTTCTCAACCCCTTCAATCCAACCTCAACCTTCTCAACCCCTTCAATCCAACCTCAACCTTCTCAACCCCTTCAATCCAACCTCAACCTTCTCAACCCCTTCAATCCAACCTCAACCTTCTCAACCCCTTCAATCCAACCTCAACCTTCTCAACCCCTTCAATCCAACCTCAACCTTCTCAACCCCTTCAATCCAACCTCAACCTTCTCAACCCCTTCAATCCAACCTCAACCTCCCACTGCTTTACCACAGCAGCCTTTTTAGCTCTCAGCGCCCGCCGCGTCCTTCCCGCGCCTCCTCCACGGGAGGAAGAGGAGGAGGAGCTGCCAGCAGCCCTGGGCCACCACCATTCCCAGGGAAGATGCCCTGGGGAGAGAGGGCTGGGGGATTTTTTTTTGGCCGAGCTATTTTGGGAGCAGAATGTGTAAGGAGATCTCGCTGCCCGCCGCCGACCTCACTTCAAAGCCTCGGCAGGGCCGCGGGGCCTCGGCCGGGCACACATGGCCGCTCGATATAGCTCCGGCAGCAGCCAGAGATAAGCTCTGGGAGAGCAGAACCCCCTTTGCTTTGGCAGCCCCTGGAGAATCTGCGACCCAGGAGGATGGGAGGAGGATCTCACCCCTTCACCCCAACCCTCGCGGGGTGAAGCGCGGCGAGAGTCTCACAAAACCCCCCCCAAGCTGAGGCTCCGTCCCGGCTCCGTTTACACCCAGGACAAAAGGTGGGGGATTAAGCGGCTCTGGCTCAGCCTCGCTGCTGGCCAAGAGTTAAATAGAAACTGGTTTTATTTTAAGTCAGCTCCGAGGGCACAATTAAGCCCCGAGTTTCCGA